GCACCTTGGCGACAGCACTGGCTTCCGGCTGCTTGAGGGTGTTGATTGACAGTCTGTTGTCATCCCCCCACATTCATGGAAATTGCGCCAACTTTGGTCACTTACCAGGTATCCTGTCCTTTCAAGTCCCCCCCCCCTCCCCGGCGGCATCCCCGACTTGAGATTTGCTCCCCACGATTTTGACATGCGAGGGAAGTATCCAAACCTAAGGCCAATTTGGAGACGGCTTCTCAAGCCCAAGCCAAAAGGGTGCCTGTTCAATCGCCCGGTCAATATTAATCCTCATGCCAGAATTTTGGCGCTTCCGTCCCATTTCCTCGTGGTATTTTGGGATGACCCACGTCATCCCTTTTACCACACCCCTTCATCCGCGGCACTCCGATTCTTCAAGGGCCAGGCGAGCTCAATGCGTCGTTTGTAGCTGCAAGATCCAACAGCTGCTTGGAATGACAGCAGCTGACAACCGGCTGGAGCGGCTGGGTCGAAGGTGGCTAAAAACAAAATTAACCCAGCATTGCAACCCAACAGCCATACCATAACCCAATTCAGGAAGCTGCTATTTAACGGGCCGCTTCAACAGTACAACTACGACATACGGAATCGCTGCGTTGAGTATAGCTATCGGTGTCGGACAGAGAATATTGCAAACCCCCATTAAGTATACTTTGGAAGGCGAGCGGGTTCTTGGTTCCTATTCTTTGATGCACGCTTTTTCTCAAATGGCGAGCCAATCTTGTCGGCGACGAAAGCTCCACCTCGGCGGACGCGGGCGTTTAGGTTAAACGCCCAACACAAACCATTGCCAACTCAGTTCAAGTGGCTTTCTCTACATGAGTCTCAAAACAGGTGGTGTACGACTTTTCTTTGAGGCGCTGTTGAAGTAGGTGAAAACACTCTTTAAGGGAAACCATATACAGGGTTGAAAAAAAACACACGTGGACAACCTTTATAGCCCTACGCTCTACGTTCTGGTACGGTAAGTATCCTTTTTTTTTCCTGTTCCTCTGCAAGGTAACAACAGCCATTTGAACTGTCAACACTTATCCGTTTTCAGGCAGCGACTTCATGTAAAGCTTTGAGACAAACTCTTCTGGCCCCCTCCCTCCCCTCTTTGGCCAGGCGCGCCAGCAAACTAGCCACTGGACATGCGGAGAATGGCTGCTCGTTCTTGTAGCTCTTCTTTTGGACTTTTTTTCTTTAACGCTTGCGCTACTCCAGTGGCTCATGGATATTTACAGGTCGTAGCCCGAGCGCCTTGAAGCGAAATTTAGCGGCCAAATTATTTGTATCATATCTGCCCAACTCCGGCCAAAGTCTCGCCAGTCTTTTCGCGGCTCGTTTCAATAACTCAGTTCGGTCACCCTCGCTGTTCAGGCCGCCTCTGGTCCTCAAGTAAGCTGTCTGGACCCGGATCATCTGGAACCTTAAAAAGATTTTGTCTGAGATGTAGTGCAAGATGCTTCGCTCCTGGTTCTCGCACTGTGCAGTTGCGGGATGGTATCTCGCAGCATGTCGATTCACATACCCAAATAATGATCCGGATACGAGCCCAGCGCATCGCGATACTCACTGTGGATGCATGTACTTCTCGCTGGTGCAGCAATTGGGGCCGAAAATGTACGATTTCTCTGTCTTGCACATTTCGAACCCACGGGTTACAAATTGCCGCAAGAGCCCTCCTGTCGAGTCACAAACAGCAAATTGCCCTCGCCGCTCCTTGCATATTTTCAAATTGTCGATGTCGTCATCCAATGAAGCTATTCTCGCGTTTTCTGGAAAGCTTCGCGGGATAAAAACCCGCTGATTGGCCAACCCATGTACTCCAACATGTATGGGCACAGCGCTCCAGTCTCCACACTGCTGCGCCCAGCCCTGGCAGTCTTGCAGCTCCTTTCTGTAGTGTCTGCGCTCTGTGCATCGGCGACAAAAAGATGAACACGCTGCTTGCAAATACCTTCGAAATGAAACATCTGGAGTGTCATAACCAAAATGTCTTCCTGACAAGCCAAGCACCAATTCCCAAACACAAACGCACAGGTGCTGGGTGGCAACTATGAAATTTGAGAAGTTCAGCCTTAACACATGTAGATTTGTCGAGAATTACACATATATCATGCAAATTTAGAAATCAGACGTACGCGGCCACTGCAATGTCCTCATATGTCTTTCGCACATGTTAGCCCCGTGAGGGTTTTGAAATAAAAATGCTCTTCGCGCGCAGCCAAGTTTCCCCTCCCTCAACAGGACGCCTTCTGCCCGCTATTGCTTGAAAGGATGTCCATCTCCGTTATGTGGGAATCACAAACACTTCATTGCTCAGCTCTTTGCTGCAGAGTCTGCTCGGCGTAGCGTTATGTTCTTGAAATATTTTCTCTCGCTGCACGGCACGTTGATACCAAGTATGATATTTGCCAGCGGGCACCTTTGTCTTCATTGTCTTTGGCTGTGAACGCCTTAATCTGGCCATCCGCTTCCGTGAGGCTACGCAGTTCCTTTGGACCGCTGCCTCTGATGTCCTTGTGGCAATGGGAAAACAAAATACTTGCCAGCAGGCACACAAATTGCAATAGAAACATTTTAACTACACACGCTAAGGACAGCTTGAGCTGAACGACGCAGCTTGCGGACACTGCGTGGGAACACTATTATTTGCAACAACCCTTACTTTTCACAAACCTCAGCAAGTCATTGGCCACTACACCCATTCGGTGTGGCTCACAATAATACCCTGCGTTCTCTCCCCTCCCATCCTCCCATGCTTTTGGCTCTCATTGCCTTCAAATGAGCCTCCCCAACACCCTGGCGGCAAAGCCATGTCTTACAACGTGTCAATACTCAACAACAATCTCAGACGACACATCCTTCGCCACAGCAACAGGTACACTTCTCTTCTTCCTCCCTCACTCCCCATGCCTGAACGTCAACTGGAGAGGGGGGCAGCCATACAGTAATGGACACTAAAAAATATTAAGGTGTTTTGTTTGCCGCTCACTGCTTTCGATAATTGCCCCGCCAAAAAAATCTGAACATTGGCAGCTCCAACTGACAAATTTGACTTTTTCTGGCCTCCTCCCTCCCTCCCTCTGGCCAGGCGACATGACCAAACTAGTGTTGGGCACGCGAAGACTACAAGAAGGGGCTTTCCTTAATCAAAGCAGGCAAAAACATGCCCTGGTTGACCTGAAACTAAGAGGGTGAAGCTCTAAAACAAAAGAAGCCCGTCAGAATTAGTAAAGAGCCTGGTTCCGTTTAAGGGTTCGGCCCCCTGCTTGAGAAGCTAAAAGAATATTTGCAAAAGCATTCTTGCCAACATGAACCTGCCCAAAACCCCAAGCCCAGGGCTAGCTGCTTGCAATACCTCCGAAATCCATTGCGCAAACGCAAGGCCCTGACTGCCATCTTCTCCAACCAATGAACATCTCGAACGTCACAAACACCATGCAAGGGCCGTACATGTGACGTTGAACCATTTTCCTTCCATCGGTTCCTGGAATATTCGCCGTGCAAACCATTAGAGTCCGCAGCGCCGCTTTCAACGCCTTACTTGTCTCAGGATGACGCGCAGCCTCCTGCACAGTACCACGCGGGCCCAAGATGTCAAGAGCTTGCGCGAAGTCGCTTGCAGACGCCTCGGCAATAAGCTTCAGGTCCTGGCCAAACCCAGCACGGCAAATCACTGCGCGAGCACTGGCCAGCAAAGCTGGTCGCCTCCGCACATCTGCAAAAATTGCAATCATTTCTGGTGTGGCCAACCGATTGCTGGCGAGCGATACAACATCAGACCTTCCTTCCGTCCTGGGCAAGCAACAACTTGTCCAACACAAACGAAGCAAACACTGTCCAGAAAATCAAGAAGCTGTCGGAATCGTCTGGCGTCCATCAGGCACCTTGATGTGAGCATGCCCGTTCCTGGAATTCTCAAGGCCCCGCGCCCGCTGGAAAGCAACAGGCACGGCATGCACGCCAACTTGAAGGAAGATCAAACCGCAAAGTAGTGAACCCTCAAAAAAATGCGCTGTTTCGTTTGTCCCATCACTGCTTTCGAAGACTGCGACCGTTAAAATAGCAAGCTGAATGCCTCCAAGGCGCTGGCAGCAAAGCCATGTGTTAGATGCACGCCACTGGAAAGGGCAACAAACACGGCCGCAAAAACGCGCAAGCGTTGTCTTCCTTGCCGGGTGCAGCCGGCTTGGCAACCTTGTGCCGGCCCCACCAACAATCGTCAATGTATGGGTGGGTAGCATGAACAAAAGAACTTACTCTGGGCTCGAGGGTTCTGCGCTACCAACCGGTGCATGTCACGCAGAGAGGGCGTGTGAGGATCATCATCCAGCAACTCCAACTGTATTTCGTCTGGATCTGAGCCTGCATCAACATAGAGCTTGTGCATCTCGTGTCTGCAAAGTTAAACGTCACAAACAACACGGGGGCCATACACCAAATTCATTGCGTGGCCAATGTGACGTTGAACCATTTTCCTTCCATCGGTTCCTGGAATATTCGCCGTGCAAACCATCAGAGTCCGCAGCGCCGCTTTCAACGCCTTACTTGTCTCAGGATGACGCGCAGCCTCCTGGACAGTACCACGCGGACCCAAGATGTCAAGAGCTTGCACGAAGTCGCTTGCAGACGCCTCCGCAATAAGCTTCAGGTCCTGCTCAGAGTTCAGAATCGGCCTTTGGTCTGACCATTTGCTGTTTTTGCGCGATCAAATCTAGAACTGCAGGATCACACAAAACCATCTCTGTTGCCTCATCAGCTGGCGAACCCCTGGGTTTCAATCCAGAAGTATTGTCCAGGTAGGGCAAACAGATCATCACCCGTTTGGCAAGCGAGTTGTGGGCCGTCCATGCAAAACAACAGCCTGCAAGGATAGCCACGAACCTTTTCATTTTCTTTCCAACTCTGCCCAACCGGCCCATATTTGTTCAGTCGGCCAGAAAAAGTGTGACAAACCACATCGAGCAAACATAAGTGCTCAAATGAAGGTGCAGGTGGCT